CTAGATCCTTCTGACCTGGTTTATCTTGAGCCTATTTCTGGAGTTAATCTACAGAACCTATCCTCATGGGTGATGACACTTGTACTTTACAAGAGTTTCAAGCAGTCATGCCTTAAGCTGTGTTGTACACATAGGCTTGAGTCCATCACCCCCAGGAATCTTTTTTCCAAGCTGTGCTGTGCTTAAGTGTGCCTGCAATAAACCAACTGGGGTCAGGCTTTTAAAGTTTGAACCAACACCAGCTACAGAGTCATGTTGAAATGAATTTCCTTCTTGTCTTGTTTGATTGACACTCTGCTGGCCATGGGGTTTGCAGAGACCATCCCCCGACCCTTATACATCAGATCTGGGATTGCAGGTTGGAAGCATGGCCAAATCTAACCTGCAACCAGTTCTGGGTGAATGTTTGTGCCTGAGTGTGTATATTTGTATGTGTGTGTGTGTGTATGTAGGACAGATGACAGCTGCCAATGTCCCCCCCCCCCTCCATTTACTTAGAACTTACCGACTAGACTACACTGGTTGGGATCAACCCCTGGGATATGCCTGTCTCTGCCTCCCTAGGATAACTGGATTATAATCAAGAATCACTGCACCCACCTGTCTTTGATTTATATGGGCTCTGAGGATCATACTCAAGTCTTCAAAACTTCAAAAGTAAGCACATTACCAACGTCAGAAAGTTAAATCTCTTAGATGCTTTCCTGAATCTTTTGCCCATGGTATTAATTTTCTTTTGTTTTTTTGAGACAAGGTTTCTCTGTATAGCTTTGGAGCCTGTCCCGGAACTCACTCTGTAGATCAGGTTGGCCTCAAAGTCACAGAGATCTGCCTGCCTCTGCCTCTCGAGTGCTGGGATTAAAAGTGTGCTCTGCTACCACCCGGCAACTAATTTTTAAGACTCTATTTTATTTCTGTCTATGTGCATGTGTGTGTCTAAAGAGTCTTCTATCTTGTTTGAGGAAGGGTCTTCTTTTTTATTTGCTGCTATTCTGTAAACTGCAGGCTAACTAGTCCATAGCGTCTGAGGAACTCTCCTGTGTCCACCTCCCTTCTGTAAGTTACAGTATGTGCCGCCTTGGCCAGCTTCCTCGTGGGCACTGGAGATCCGGCCATCTGGCTTACCTGACGAACCGTCTGCCCAGCTTGAATTTTGTTCTGAGACAATGGAATGGTCATCCGTGGCAGTCACCAAAAGTGACACTGGCGCTTCACCACCAGCTATGACAGGAACACAAGTAACAGACAGGGGACCCAGTTTAGGATGACCTGATAAACTGATAACCATTGTTCATTTATTAGAGAGCAAGGATTAGCAAACCCTCGGGAGACCTTTCCCTGCTCTTCCATAGGTTTCAGTAATGTGTGCTGAAATTATTTCTCTTTTCCTTATGTGGCTAAATAGCTATGTGTAGCCTTTGACTAGGTTCCATTTAGTTCTGTCTTAGTCCATGCAGGTTGCTAAAATAAAATATAAAAAAGTTAGAACGGGTCACTGTAAACATAAAATTACTTCTCATAGTTCTAGGGGTTGAGAAGTGCAAGGAGAAAGTGCCACCAGCATTTTTTGGTGTTTGTTGGCTCAGCTCTTTCCTGATGAGGGCATCCTGACTCAGTGTCCACAGTAGCTTGCTGAAGCAACTCTTACACAGGGACTGATCTCTTTCATCTCTCTTTTAAAATAAACAAACAAACAAATAAACAAACATATTTATTAAAATAAATACATATGCATATTCATTTATTTTACATCCCAGTTGCAGTTTCCCCAACCTTCTGGCCTCCCAGATGTCCCCCATCTCCACACCCCCTTCCCCAATCTGCTCCTCCTCTGTTTCTGTTTAGGAAAGGGCAGGTCTCCCATGAGAATCAACAAAACATGGCTTATCAAGTTGTAGTAAGACTAAGCACTTCCCCTTTTATGAAGGCTGGGCAAGGTGATCCAGTATGAGGAGTAGGGTCCCAAAAGCCAGTAAAAGAGTCAGAGACAATCCTGTTCCCACTCTTACAAGTACCCCAATATATGATCTTGGATAGATACAAACATAGGCATAGGAACTTGGTTGGGGTTAAACCAAACATACTTTTAAAAAGAATCCTTACATTACTTGTGTCATAGGAGTGGTTTGAATGATACACTTTTTTTTTTCTTTTTGGTGGTTTTTTGAGCCAGGGTTTCTCTGTGTAACAGCCTTGGCAGTTCTAGAACTTGCTTTGTAGGCCAGGCTGGCCTTGGACTCACAGAGATCTATGTCTGCCTGCATGCTGCCATGTTTCCCTCCGTAATGATAATGGACCAAATCTCCGGAACTGTAAACCAGCCCCAGTTCAATGTTTTCATTTATAAGATTTGCCATGGTCATGGTGTCTTCTCACAGCAATAGAAACCTAACTAAGACAGTCACTAACTGAACCCCTTCTCTTCTTCCCTCCTTTGCTTTGTCCTCTTGCTGTCTGACTGGCTCCCACTATGATCCCCTGAGTTCAGTGAGGTCAGAAATAGGTGGTCACACACATGGGTCTCCCGTCTCCTCATCATTCCGCTACCCTCTATTGAATCTCACCTCTCATGTTCCCTGTGGCAGTCTTCTCCCCGGGGCCTCCTTGCCACGCCCCTCTTTCTACATCCAGCTCACTGCTGTCCTTCTGCCTTTTTGAAGTTTAGTGTTCATATTGCTCTTCCCCAGCTTACTACCTTTAGAACCCCAGGTCCACACTGTCCAAATTCAGCCTGAGCCCTAATTAGGAGCATCTCTCTTCTATAAAAACAGTCATGTGATGTGTACAAGTGTGTGCAGCTGGTGGCTCATGCCTCTGTTGTCATTGTAAAGAAAGATATAAGTGTCCACAGGGGAATTATGGACCCTAGTGTATTACTTACCCATGGGCTGCTCCCACCCTCAATGTTTTGGAAGAAGACAGGATGGGAGCAAACTTTACTCATTTTATTTCTTTCTTTTGCTAAAGCTACCATCTTAATGGTATGATCCAAAGCCCAGCCCAAAGTGCTATCACGCCAGAGGCCCAGTGCTCTCCAGTGCAGCCCCTCCGTAACCCAGGCCTCTGAGCCCACCTGCCCAACTGCCTGGACATCGCTAGATTCCAGCATCAGATGTAGCTACCAAGAGTCACTGGGGTTCATGTCTTAACACGGAAGAAAGAGCACAGGCAATACTTTCCTGTGTCCATTACTGTAAGAGTACTTATGCCTTGACAAGGGGACAAATCGTTTCACAATGAGCCTTGGGAACTGTGAAAACTGAGATCTCTTGTTTTCATGAAAAAAAAAAAATCTGAGGTCAACCAGAGTGACCAGAAATAGACTTTAGCAAATGGAATTCTACAATAGCATAGAAGTTAATGGAGAGGGGCCTTTTCCCAGGCTGGTTTTCCCAGACACCTCACGTTTTCATCTGCTTTGCAATTGCTTGGACAGTGCCAGTTCATGGAAAGGTAAACAAATCCACAGCAGTTCCACTACCATGTAAAGACTCACAGGAAGATGTGTTTCCTATGAATTCTACTATAAATAGGAGGTTCCAAAAGCATAGTTTCCACTGAGGAAATTTAAAAATTAATGTGTCTTCAAGTGAGAGTACTGACATGAGCTTAGACAGGATATATGACTATATTACTATAATGCTTATATTGAATATTAGATATAGATATATTGGATATATGGCTATATTACTGTAACGCTACAAGCTACTGTCAAGCACTGCATAGTACCCTATACATGTGTCAATTAAGACAGTGTAGGTTGTTTTCACAGTACTATTTATAGTATTTAAATTATAAAATCAACCTAGGTATCTGACAACAGAGGACTGGATAAGGAATATATATATTCATATATATATATATATATATATGAATATATATACACTCACACACACAGTAGTCATTCAGTCACAAAGGAAAATGCTGGGAAATGGCTGCAACTAAAGATAATCCCATCAAGTGAACTAAGCCAGCCTCAGGAGGACAAATTTTCTCCCATTTGTGGTTCCAAGATTTTGTGTGCATGTGTGTATATGTAAATTATGTATATTCAAGGCAGAGAAGCAGAAAGAAAACTCTCAGTGGGGCAGAGGGGACTCACGAGGTCACAGAAAGGCAGTGGGGATAGTGGGAGAGGAACTATGCTCAGCCTACAATATATCCTTGTACAAAACCTCAGAAAGATAACAACAATAACCACTGCCAAGGCCAAGAAGTCCGAGAGACAGCAATGGATACGTCTAGAATGACTGGATGGAATCTGAGAAAAGCCGCTTCAGCCCCAATTTCATGTGTGTTTCCAACAGCACATGTGTCCCAGGGCTTTCAAAGGATGTGGCCCTGGGGTTGGCTTTCAGTCTCTCTAACCAAGGCAAGCTCCTCCACCAAACTTAGCTTTGGGTCTGGGATGTCTTCAGTTTTCCATTGGCAGCTGTGTGTCCTTGACTTTTCTTTCATTGCCCTGTGACTGTTGGCTTATATATCCACTCTCAAATCTCGGGGGAACACTTGGAGCTGCTGTTGGTGAATGGCCACCTTCAACTCTGTCGCAGGAAGCCACGAGGATACCGGCACAGCGTTGCTACATCTGTGCTTCGAGGCGGGGTTGTTGAGAAGGCGGAACGAAGAGCGTTCACTCACCAGGACAAACCACTTTGCAGAACGAGTGAATGCGCGACTCTTTAAAAAACAAAACAAAGCAAAAAACCAGCTTAGAGGGTTGGTTGGACATGCGGCTCAGTTGTTTGGAATGCTTGCCTAACACCCATGAGGCCCTGGGTTCAGTCTCTAGCACTGCCTTAAGAACCTGGAATTAATTGCGGGTGGTAATGTGTCCCCCTTCTCCCCCTTTGTCTCTGTCCCTAACTGTCTTTAGTAGGTAGGAGGATAGATCCCTAAGGGATAATTGCCTGGCGGTCTGCAGGTCTGGAGCAGGCTTTGGCCTCCGGCTAGTGCAGGCAACAGGCGCCGCCTCCTATTCTGTTTACTTGTTGCTCTAGGAGACCAGTGTCCCTGACTCCGCACTCAGAACAACACTCCCGGCTTCTTGGGTCTCAGCAGCATCTCGAGGGGCCAGCCAAGATGAGCCAGAGCGGCACCTCGGGCTCCGGGAGCTTGCAGTGCCCCCGCGACGCCGCCTCACTGCCTGAGGTAGAGTCCCCGCAGCTGTTTCATGGGAGGGGCTCGGGAGTCTCCTGTTTGCATGGTGTCCTGGGTGAGACTAGAGCCGCTCAGTTCCCACTGGGGCAGTGGTCAGGAATAGCAGGTCTTGAAGTGGTGCCACGCGGTCTCCTTGACCACTGAAACTGGCCGAATTCCACCCAGTGGCTTTTCCCGGCAGTTCTTCCCCCACCCTATCCCCAGGGAACAAAGGGTTTGCTTCACAGAACTGCTTTTTCAATTTGGAGCAGCTTCTCCTACCCTGGAGGTAGTGGGATTAGCACTGGGCCCCTCAAGGCCTCCAGCCTGTAGGCTGCTAACAGGTCCCCAAACAGTGTTTCCTTGGAGCTATTTATTCATTCCCTTACTCCTAGGATTCTTGGCATTGGGGACTTAGAGGTGTAACACTTGCATACAGGAATGGGAAAGTTCTGGATGAGGCTGGGGTCCTCCTCGGGGCTGGGGTCCTCCTCAGGAGCGTGTGCGTGTGTGTATATGTGTGTGTGTGTGTGTGTGTGTGTGTGTGTGTGTGTGTGTGTACTGCTTTCAGAGTAAATCTCTAACCCAAGAAGTGTCCTCGAGGATTCCAATCATGTACACCCTCTAAGCAAAATTTGGTTAAGAACATGAGTTGGATTCTCCAGCATGCTATCACAGCTCAGATATTTAGCACACTTGACCATCACCCCAATTTTAGGCTTCTCCAATTCTTCACATACTGTGGGGGACCAATATCACGGTTTGCAGGAATACCTAATTCTTCTTCTGACAATTTCATATTTGGTATTGTATTTTATCTTAATTCTCTGTGAATTAAGATGGTTGAATCATATATAAGTACATGATACTTTTGTTATTAATATATTTTTAGTAAGTCCATTCAATGTAAATTACAGATTCTACCTCCAAATATAGTCTTGTAAAAATAAAGGAACTCGCCAAAGTTCAATGGTCAAGTTCAGAATATTTAGAATTTTTATAATCATATTATCTAATGTATATTATTTGCTAAGTTGGGAATTACCCCAAATAGAAAATACTTTACTCCTCCTACATGCAGATTGTGTTTAGTGTCTTTAAATTTGAACTAACTCCTCAGCTTTCTGTAACTGGCTCCCCTGAGCTGATTATTGGTAGGAGACTACTAGGAGATGTTGTCTGTTGGTGCATAACTTTAGGAGCATGGCAGTCATTGTTGATGTTCCCAATAACAGGACTATATCTGCCAGATGCTTCCACTGTAAAATTCCCTCTGTGATAAGTAAACAGTTATAAGGGCCGGGAAGATGGCTCAGAGATCTAGACCATGTGTTGACCTTATGTTGACATGCTGGCTCATGACTATCTGTTACTCTAGTTCCGGGGGGCCCACCACTCTCTTCTGGCCCCCATGGGTACCAGGAATATATATGGTGCTCATACACATATACTTGGCAATACATTCATACACATAAAAACACTTGTTTGATAATCATCATAATTGTATAATTATTATTTTTAGGATAAGCCCCTACCTATGTAAAGGAGAATTTCTACTACACCTGAGGTTTGAGTTGGTTTGGAAGAAATAGACTTTATTGAGAAGGGTGGAAGCAGAAAAGCCAGCGTGTATTCCATTAGAAGCTGAGTTTATAAAATATTTCATCTGAGATAATCTTAGGTAGATAATGAAGGGGTTTCAAGTTATATAGTAGGGTTGCTCAGGTGATAAAGGATGCAACTGAGACTTGACTGTCTCCTGAAAGCTTTGGGCATTTCCTGCTGTGCTGCATTGAAGCATGGATTAGAATGCAAAGCCTGGGTAGGAGGCCCCTCTCTGACAGTGTAGATGTCGAAGGGATGAGTCACCCTTGGAATAAAAGCGGGCCTCAAACAATCCGAATTACTCTACTTCTCCAGACTATTTTGGTTAAAAATTCTTTCGGATTTTAGAACTTGAATGTTCTCACCAGAAAAATGACGCATTTATTACCTTTTATTTTTGCTGTGATAAAATCTCATGGCCAGAAATGACTTATGGAAGAAGAAGTTGATTTGGACCTGCAGCTCCTGTGGGAGAATCCATATCATGTGGGAAGCATGGCAGCCGGTGGCTGGAGCCAGGAGCTGAGAGATCGCATCTTAAAACACACAGAAAGCAGAGAGAGCAAGCTGGAAGTGTGGCTATGCTGTAAATTCTCAAAGCCCGCCCCAGTGACATGCTTCTTCCAGAAAGGCCCCACCTCCTAAAGGCTGCATAGTCTCCCAAACAGTGCCATCAACAGGGACCGAGTGTCCAAATATGGAAGGCTATGGCGTGCGGGGTGTGGGATGGGGGGGTGGAGAGTGGAGGGGGTAGGGGGGGCAGTTCTCATCCAAACCACCACCACGCATGGATCATAATAGCACGTAGTGTCTTTTGGGGATTTCATAGTTAGTGTATGAAGGGCACTTCACAGACTGTCTGCTATGATACTAATTAAAGTCAGCCATTGGTGTCCCTACTGCTAAAACTGTCACTGATATTTCAACCAGTCCCTCTTGAAGATCCAAGAGTGAGCCTGAAAAAGAAATGAGTTCTTGCTTTTCCTGGAGAGTTAGTGTTCATGGTCAGGAGGCAGATTTCAGGCTAAAATTTTCTCCGTCGAATTTCCCAAAATTAAATCACTCACCAGAAGAGCTTCACGAAGCTAGAAAACATGAGAGCGGTGGGCAGTGTTAGAACCTGACTGGGCTTCTCAGGCAGGGAGGAGGGTGCCATGCTCTGGAGAATTTGTAAACAGCATGGTAGAACCGTGAGACGCCATGAGACCCAGTGCACTCGCAACAATAGCCTTGTGTGAAAATGTTACCCAAGGATGGGACAGGTCAACAACCAGCAAAAGCTATAAATTGGGGATTTAGTGAAAAGTGTTTTGATTTCTTGTCGGAGCCAGTAATGGTAGCATTCAGGCTATTTTGCAACACTGATGTTTTTAAGAGGCTCTGAATAAAAACTATGACTCCAGTATGAGCTGCTTTTGGGAAACGGAACAAGTCTCTTTCCTCTGTGTATAGCAGGGGCTGAAGAGATGGCTCAGCCTGCGCTGGTTGTTGGTACAGAGGTTCCTGGCACATAAGGAACCAAACAACCGAATACGTTAAGGCCAAAAGACATTACTTTGAGGTGATGATAAAGATTGATATATTAAGATGATAAGCAATTCATTCATCAGGAAATTGTAACGGTTTTAACTGTGTATGCAGGAAGTAATACAGCCCCCAAATTCAAGAAGAAAACTTGGTAGGTCTGATGTGGGAGTGTCATATATCAATCTGTTGATTTTATTGGCTAAGTAATAAACAAACTGCTTGGGCTCATAGCTTAGAACATAGGTGGGTGGAGTAAACAGAACAGAATGCTGGGAGGAAGAGGAAGTGAGCTCAGAGACTCGATAGCTCTCCTCTCTGGAGCAGACGCCTCAGGAGAGACGCCATGCTCCCCTCACCAGGCCAGACACAGCTCCGACCCAGGATGGACGTAGGCTAGAATCTTCCCGGTAAGCGCACCTAGGGGCGCTACACAGATGATTAGAAATGGGCTAAATTAATATGTGAGAATTAGCCTAGAAGAGGCTAGATAGAAATGGGCCAAGCAGTGTTGAAATGAATACAGTTTGTGTGTTGTTATTTCGGGGCAGAAGCTAGCAGGCGGCTGGGTGCTGGGGATGCAGCCCCGCCGCTCTTATTACTACAGTAGGTCTGTTAGGATAAACAGACAAACCCACATGATATAGCACGTGTCCTTTCTTTTGAAATTGAACATTTATTGTGTGTGTGTGTGTGTTTGTGAGTGTGTATGTGTGAAAGTGTGCGTTATGTGTGTGAGTGTGTGCATGCATGTATATGAGTGTGTGTTTGTGTGTGTGTGTAAGCCAGAGGGTTACTTGTTAGAACCAGCTCTCTCTTCATCATGGGTGCACATGGGTGTCTGAGGGATTGGAATCAGGTCCTCAGGCTCCCCGAAGCATCTTACTGGCCCTTGAGCACTTTCAGCACACACTTTCAATTTAATAGGAGAGGTATTCAGAGGCTAACGTGCAGATTTAGTTAAGTTTTCGTGTGAATAAACACGTGTAAAGTAGTGGGGGGCTGGGAGAGGAATCGGAGAGGAGGGAAAAGGTGAAGGGTTTGATGGAAATACTTTATGCACATATATAAAGTTCTCAACAAACAAACAAAAACAAAGCCCCAAAGGATAGTTTGAGTCTTTTCGCTCGTGTGAGTTGCTGTCAATCTTGACAGTATGCTCCTTTCTAAACTATTATTTCTTCACTTTAAATAAAGTTTTGTTGCTACTTTGCAATCCCTACAAGATAAAGTTACCACGATGTTTTCCCCCTTGCCCAAAGTGGTGTGTGTGTGTGTGTGTGTGTGTGTGTGTGTCTCCTTAGACTGTGAAATAATTAGACCTAAGCCTAGAAGTACTTGGTAGGGACTGAATGAGATGAGATCCTTACACTATTATGGATGGAGGAAAACAATCCAATCCTTTGAGAACATGGGATAGCCCAGCTTTAAAGGAATTTTACAAAGTCCTGGCCTGTGCTCTTTTGAGGTGTTAAGGCCCTGAGGGAAGAGGATGGTGTGGGCGCTGCACTGGTTAGGAAAGGTTATTGCTGTAAAGACTGGGGAAACCGGAGCAAGGTGTGCAGAGCAGTGACTCTGTACCAGCCTGCGCAGGCTCTTAGTTCTCATAAACCTGCAGGAGCTCTTCATAGGGAGGCTGGGGCGGACGTCTTTGATCAGAAAGTCTTTGTTCAGGTTTTGCTGCCTTCCCATAATGCTAAGTCATTTCGGGATAAAATGCCTAAGAGATAAAAGGGATAAATGATGATGGGTTGGTTCATTTACACATTTGACTTTGAGATTTTTATTATAACTTAGTTCATCTTCCCTTGTAGTTATTCTCCGACCACCTGGCTTCAGTATGTAGTGCGAGATAATACCTTCAAAGAATGGTACGATGTTTT